TAATAAAACACCCTTTGAAAACATTCGGAATTTCCCGAGGATATTTCACAATATCCCCTGTATAGGAAAAACAACAGTTGAATTTAAAAACCCATAATTGGAAAAAGCTAAACATATTATGAGGGAGATCTTTACGTAAATAACAATAATGATTTCTTAAATTTACGCGAACACTACCAATTGAATAAAACTATATTTACTATTTGTCGGATTAGAACATAGCACATAGCTAATTATTTTACTTCTTTCCACTTTTATTCATTTCTTGATTGCGGTAAAATTGTTTTTATGTTTTTGTTTTTCTATTTGGTATATATTTAATGGGGGGGGCTTAGCTAAAGATAATAATAGTATTGAGTTAGATTATGTCTTGTCAATGTAATTGTTTTAGGTTTTTGTTTCTAAGTATGTTTGGATTCAATAAATATTATTATTATTACTATTTTAACTTAGTTTTTAATCCCCGACGTTTCTGAAGGTAGCCCGACTAACTACGATATTGGGATGTTAAATATCTCAGTCCCCCCGTGTCCATGTGTGTCCGAAACGTCGGGAATTAAAAACTAAGTTAAAATAGTTGATTAAACGCGATAAAACCAGTAAATATAGCTTTATTCAATAAATAGCAATGCTACTTATTCAAATAAACACGGGTAAAAATTGCCAACTTAAACTGACTTTAAGTAATTTATCAAAATGTACAAATGCCGACATGTCTTCGAAATCTCTGTCGATATTCCCCTAATGCGCCCTACGACATTTTTATATCTTTAATATAGTACTAACCCTGTAAGGGCGGTATAAGAATATCCACAACCCCTTATCGACCTCTGGGTGTCATAAGAGGCAGCAGAGGGAAAGGGGCTGCCCATCGCCAACTAAAAGGAACCTGCGGTTGGCGAGCCGCCTGCCAGGCGTTTGCACAACAGTTGCGAATATTTCCTAATGAAGCAATCGATGGGGAAGCCCCTTGTTCAGTAGTCGACTTTGATAGGTAGGCTATAATGACATAGATGATGAGTAGAGTATGTAACAATATTTTGTATTTTATGAAAATAAAGTATATTTAAATGAAACTTTTTATTCATTTGGTTAGTGTAGAATACATCTATAGACGAAAATTTGAACTGTAAGTTGCATGTAAACGATATATCTACGAGATTAAATAAATTTGCGTATGCCCTTAAATATTTAAAAAATGTAATAAACATAAAAAACCGGCCAAGAGCGTGTCGGGCCACGCTCAGTGTAGGGTTCCGTAGTTTCCCGTCCGTCACAATAAGTGTTCCCACTTATGAGTTTAAAGGTCCATCCATTATGTTCGCGCTCCAGCAGCGGTCCGCGCTCCTGCAACTGCTCCCGCTAGTGGGTACTGTTGTTTCCATCCAAGTCCAAAATGATTTTCCTAAAAAGTCCTTATAAAGTTCTACTTTTCAGATTTTTTTCATATTTTCTAAACTTATGGTTCAAAAGTTAGAGGGGGGGACACATTGTTTTTTACTTTTGGAGCGATTATTTCCGAAATTATTGACATTATCAAAAAATGATTTTAGTAAACCCCTGTTCATTTTTAAATACTTTTCACTTTTTCACACGTTAGGGTTGAAATTAAAAAAAAATCACTTCCCACTTTACATATAGGGGGGCTACCTTACTAAAACATTTTTTTCCAATTTTCATTTATTATTACCACTTTGTCGGCGTGATTGATACAAATATTGGTACCAAATTTTAGCTTTCTAGTGCTAACGGTCACAGAGATTAAGCGAGGACGGACAGCCGGACAGACAGACATGGCGAAACTATAAGGGTTCTTAGTTGACTACGGAACCCTAAAAACGGCTACTCTGTCCTACCTTGCATGTGTAGAGTCAAAACTACGCTATGGACTTATAATCTGCGGTAAAAGCACGGATCAAAATAGAGCATTTAGGGGACAAAATGATGCGTCAGAGCAATATGTGGGCTTAAACCAACTGAAACATGTCAACAGGTGTTTAAAAAACTGGACTTATTACCCCCACCATGTCTTTATATTTATGAAATATGTATGTTTGTATGGAAGCATAAATATTTATTTAACACGGCAGACGATGGAAATCCTCGGATCGGGCGAAATCTCTACAAACTATTTTTAAGTGACAATCCTAGAATAAGTAAATATAATAAAATCTGTTTATCCAAGTGTGTATGTTTATATAACAAGCTACCAAATAATCTTAAAATGTTATAATCATTTAAATCAAAATTACGGGAATATCTAATTAAGAATAATTTTTATAGCATTATGGGCTTTATATTAATCATAAGTCTTAATGTACAAAAACATAAACTTTGCGTGCTACGTATAATTGTAGCAAAACATGCTGTTAGATTGTATAATATTTGTAAAATATTTTTCACACCATATTTTAAGCAAATAAATATTATTATTATTATTATTATTCAGTCATTTAGCTTTATTCAACACGTTAGTCAATCCCCATTAATTTTGCTCTGCCTCTTCTTCAGTACTATTTGCATTTTGATTTTTCTAAATCGTGGATGACAAACATACACACAGGTGCACCTTTGTCACCTTAACTTCTATACTAATGTGAAATTGCAAGCGATTTTATAAATTTATTTTATTGAATTACTACGTTGCAAAGGAATGTACAATTAGTGGAAAACTTAAGCAAACGATTACATTTTATATTATTTTAATGTTTAAACCTATATCTTACTTGTATTAGTAAAAGGCTATAGAATAATATACGCTTACTAGCAAAGATAATATAATCACTACACTAGCTCATATTTGACAATTTATTTAACTATACCAAGGTCCTCACCAAAGAGTACGCAACATAATCACTTCCTTCCTTCATGATAATGATGTTAAGTCTAGTCAGACGCTGCCATATCTCAATAAAATTAGAGAGGAAAAAATGCCACAATGACGTAAGTCCGCCCATTATACTCTTAGATAAGGTAATGTGATTAAAGAATAATTTGGTGATTTGTATTTTTACTTCTGCCCTATATTACGGAGAATTTAATTATTATCAAATACATTTAACCTTTAATTAATCTCTTGCTTCATTATTCATTATCATAGCCTTAGTAATTCAGCTGTCAAGTCAATAGGCTTCCTATGATGGAGTGTAGAAAAGCAAAAAAGAAAATAATAGACCACATTTTTGTCTTCGTATTTATTAAGGCAAATACTAACATTTTTATAAATTTAAATCTAATAAAAATTTATTATGTCACAATGCTGTTTTTAAAACTAATTGCTTATAATCTAAAATACTCTTAAAAGTGCTTATCGATCAATTACAGAAAAAAGGTTAGAATTATTGGCATAAAAAGGAACATTAATTATTATTATCTAATAAGTACTTCTGAGTGTAGCACATTTCTTTCTTAAATACTTACTTTCAAATATCTTATTATTACCTAATTTCATGTTATTTTAGGTTAGAATTATATACTTACGAAATATGATGTGTTTATAACAGAGATAATAGAAGGCGGAAAAATGGTATGTCAATTCTGTTCGCTTAATTTTCACGCCAAGCATGTGTTTTGTCAGTTTAGAAGTCAAAGCATTTTAACCGGCGAACGTAGTTTTAACAAACACAACACAAATTATAAGACAAATGCAACTCATTGATAGGTGGGTTGCAAAGCTTGGAAATCAAGTAGTATTGGCCTATTAAATTACATTAAGGTACCCGTTAAGTCTGAATAAACTACCTTAGTTGTAGGAGCAAAACTGATGTAAAACTGAATTTAAATATATTATGTAATAAATAGAAACGATAACTTATTTATTTTTTGATAATTTTTTACGAATACTTTGAATTTTTTTTCATTTTATTCGAAACCTTGCTTTTGGAAATATTTTATTTTATTTTGATCGAAACTAGTTTTTGAAATATTAAAAGCATACATTTTTGAATTCAAAATCAATAGTTATATTAAACCAAGAGAGCACCACTGACTGGTAGCAATTGAAGTTATTTCACTCTGCCATTAATATGGGAGAAAAGGATGATGTATAACACCTTTGCCTTTGATTAAATGCTTGCTTTAACAAAATAATAAAATAACTTAACACTAATACAAAATAAATTAATAGAACGCAATTTATTGCTTACTAAAGGAACTAAGGACTTATTTTTCAAAGAATGGACTTTTCATCAAAAGAATACTTCTGTTTCAATGGCATTGTTGGTTATTTTTACGCTGGCAAAATCGTGGAATATAGATTTAATGACAGCGATGTAACCTTACAATAGCTGTCACTTCAAAAGCAGCAACGTTTAGACTACAGACTCAGATGAAGTAAAAAAAGGTTGTATATTTTATCGATGCTTACATGCTCACTGGACAATCTAACAAGAAGACTTTTAAATGATCTACAGACGCCTCCTACGTGCTTCATCTTTTTTTGAATTGTCAAATTGTTGAAATTTATTAAAACAGACACATATACTTTCGCATTCGCATCGCATATTACTCTTATAGTTGTAGTATTGTATCTCGATTTTCTGGGACTTTTAAAAAAAAGTGGCAACACTTCTCTCACTCACACAAAGTTATAAAATTGGTTACAGTTTCTTGTTCTAGGTGCGATATCTACTTTTTTACTTCATCTGAGACTACAGAGGTCACATAGGAACAGAAAAACTTATTTACATCCATACATATTTACCTCCCAAAACATGATGCAACAATCGATAAAATATAAAAATTGCATTTTTGTTTATTGAATCGTATAAAAGCAGGAGGATCTGACATTCGTAGTACCAAGTAGAAGTCTCTAAAAACAAAAAACAAATAGTCATTATCGATTTCTACAATTGAGGTCTGAAGAAATCTTAGTTGCGCTCATTTGTCAAATACAAAACTAGAATTTTTCACAAATTTTAAGACGTTATGCTGGATGAGTCGTCAATGGGTGTTAGAATGTGCTTAGAGGCGATGTCAGGCAAAAGCGGTGCCAGCACTCGCTAGCTTTCCGTGTTCTCATCATTATCGACGGGTGGTCGGCAACGGTGGATAAAGGCACCAACGTTCGCGTCGTCCTCATTGATCTGGCACGTCGTTCCAGCCCCGCAATGACAACTGGAAATAACAAAATTGATGAAACTCATTCATTCTTGTTGATTGCTTTGGGATCTTGACCGAAATAGCGACATATAAGACGAGAAGACTCCGAGAAGACACGAGATTATCGTACCTTTAAAGTTATGTGTTATGTATTATGTATGATGATTGATGAGAAACGAACACTTTTTAGTCCTCAGCAGGCCATTTCGCTAACACCGTTGGTACCATAATAATAATTACTTTGGAGTACATTGCGTCATGCTGTATAATTAACTATACGTGCACAAAGAAAGCACCCGCGATAAGCATCAAATGCCTAACATTTATTTATCTAAAAGTATCCAGTATTTGGATAAATATTATATTTAATAGTTACTCTCAAAGTTCTTTAAGTTAAATAATAACTTATATGGCATACAGCTTTTGTTAACGCTGCAGGTATGTGCTTCTCAAACCCACAAAAAATTGAGAGAAATTGTCACTTTTTTTAAATTTAAAGTCACATTTTTAAAATATATAATTCTAATTTGGTATTCAATTTTGGTTGGTACTTTTTAATTGATAGAAGTCGTGAATGAATTGCTATTTAGTAGTAGTATGCTATTAAGTATATTCAAGTTTATATTATGGTTCACGGTGTCAAGAGCTCATTATCGAGAAATTTGATAAAGTAATGTCGAACGGTACATGTGAACTATTTTACGCATTACTATTGACTTTACGTCATCATATTTTACTGTCTTGCTTTTATGACAATATGAGTGATTTTACGTACAAGTAGGCACAAGCATTGTTGAAATGGTAAACAGTTAACACAGGCATTTTGTATTGCACCCAAGAAAGTCTTTTATAGAATATGGGTGACAAATGATCACACTGTCAACCTGATGGTAAGTGCATTCTGTGACCAGTAGAAATCTATATCTATGCTCGATTAAGAATCAAAAAGATATGTGGTTATCTCTACGGACTAACGTGTAATGTCTCCTATACAGTAAAAATGGTCTCCGGTTACACAATACACGAAACCAGCTGCATTACGTTGCTATTTTACGCTGATATCCCGTGAGAGCATATTCCTTCTTCGGTTGAGCCGACCCATTCCTGCTACAACCATAATAAAACCGCAGTACGCGTCTAAAAATATTAACCAGTACTTACATTATAAGAATAAAGATAATAAATTAAAAGCTTAAAATATCATTCGCTGAAAATAAGATAAATTAATGTTAATAATAAAAAATACCATGCAATCCGATTAATTATTTAACTGTATAAATAAATGATTATCACACTATAACAAACAATACTTACTACGTATTTGTGATCTGTGTATCAATAATCTTTTGGCGGGATTTATAGATTGACCAAGCGCACGGTGTTTGCGGCATACAAATTTCTTTAGATTTCTCCGACGTTGAGGAGACTGATTTTAAAAATTCCTCATCTTCGTCCATGTTCACCGCCCGCTGTAAAGAGATAATTATAATATGATCACTCAGAGACATTATCAAGTTACGGCCATACTGTTTGTGACCGATGACCTATGGGCGAGTGAAATGTGTTTCGTTCTGTTCGACGAATAAAAATAAAGCATCTTTTACTTTAAAATTAATAACAGAAAATATTTCAAACTTTAGTTCAGTTTAATAGTTCACGAATATTGTCACTTGAAATATTATCCTATTGATTTGGAAAACTAGGTATTTAGATTAACATAAAACTTACACAAAAACGCACACAACTGATAAGAATAACTTCATTTTTCTTACTTTACGAGTAATACCTGATTGTTACTGTTGTCAATTGCCTTATATAATACCTATACTCGTATAATCTATGTTTTTTTTATAGAATTGGGTGACAAACGAGCACACAGTCCACCTGATGGTAAGTGGTTGCTGCGGCCCATAGACATCTACATCTATCCTCGATTACAAATCAAAATGCAGATGCGTTGTCACCCGTGAGGACTAAGATGGAATGCCTCGTTTTCAGTAAAAAGGGTTTCCGGTTCTCTACACTCACCATACGAAACACAGCAGCATTAAGCTAACTATTTTACGCTGGTATTCTGTGGAGCGTGGACCTTCCCCGGTTGAGCCGAACTATTCGTGCTACAACTATACTACTAATATAACTGCAGCATGGCTCTACCACGTATAAAAAAAGTTTTTAAGTAAGTTGCCAACCAGCATGCCAAGCGAAGCAACTGTGGCAAATATTCCACATGTGAAGTAATCTGTGAGGGTCTATGTTTAACAGTGAACTTTGATTAGGCTCTAACGGTAATACTTGCTATTCCCGCGGCTTTTTCCGTCAATTATCAAAAAACCACTTAAAACTATGCGCGATATGGAAAAATGCTTAAATAAAAAAATTAAAGGCTTATTAAGATCTTATCACTCATAGTTTTGTTGTAGCCATGTGTGATTTCTTGCATCGAAACTAATATAGAAGATAAAGTGTAAACCTGTTTGTCACTACGTGTAAAATTGCATAACAAATAAATTGTGTCGAAAACTTTTTTTACCTCTTTTAGTATTTGAGATAATCATCAAAAACAGTTTAGTCAATATTAGTTTTCGATATCACAAAAATAACCCTCCATGTTTTTCGGATCAAATATATATCTAGCCTAGATCAATCAAAATCGCTTCAGTCCGAATGACTTCTAGTCATTTATTACCTTGAGGTTGTGACTACAAGGTCCTAAAAAATAATCACTTTAAAAGTAAAAATGACTTTAGTGAACTAAATAGAAGAAAGTAATTTCTACCAGTAGTTGTCGGGAAATATACGTTCAAACTTTTTTGACGCATATGTTAACTAGGCCAAATTGTCCAACTTCGAGAGAGAGAGTTCAAGTGATGACAAACGATATAGTAGAAGTGATACATAACGATATTACAGTTCACCTTATGGTAAGTGGCTACTGCGGTCCATACCATAGAATAATATAATACACAATAGAATGGCTGTCAACTTTATTTTGTAAGAGGCTTGGCGTCGCCAAACCCGATTCGCTGTGTTGACAGACTGAATAAATTTAAACATTTTAGACTTTTGATTATGTTTAAGACCATCATTAAAAAATCGTTTAAATTTTAATACTATAATATTTTTGTAAATAGGGTGCAATTTGGCATTTTTTAAATAATTTGCATGCGAAATTTGGAAACGATTGTAACGTCAAAACACATCTCGTGTTGCATTTATACGTGTGAATTGACGTATTAGTGACATTTTAGTGGCGACGTAAGCTCAGCCCACTCCCCCGTTCTATTATGTATGTATTATAGTATTCTATGGTCCATATACACCTGCAGCTAACTTCAAAAATAAACTTGCTACAGATGCGTTGTCCTCTGAGGACTCAAGTGGTTAAGTTACATCCTATATATATATAGCACTGAGCACAGACCTACGCTCATTTCTGAGAGGGTTTTAGGGGATTGAGCCCAGTTTGTTCGCGTACTGTGACATTTACAGCGAGCGCTAACCATCTGAACTACCACGGCTCATCAAAGTGTTTAAAACACTTTAATTACAGAACACTTTAAAACTACACTAATTAAAAAACACAATTGTACTACTGATCACTTTAGTTCGCAGTTGTATCGCTTGAATCGCCAATTCAACACTCACTCATATACCGGCTTTATATAGGGCCTCAGTTCCAGAACCTTCCACTGTAGAAACATCTAGAATGTTCGAGTCTGTCCTGTCTCGATAGGTGTCGATAGTTCTCAAAACTTAACAACATAGGTGTGGTATGCCATTACTGCAACCAGTGCTTGGTGGCAGTATTGGCATATCCTAAACATGCTTACAAGTTAACGAAAACATGAGCTTTATTCATTTATTTTAAAATACAATATGAATAGATGTGTTTTAGCTTTACAACACGTAGCTGGAGAGATTTTATGTTTACACTGAGTTGGAGATCTACTTGGTGTCACTTTTTATTGCACACATCGAACGCGAAACGGGGACGTTGAGCTCTATTGTTACCAAATCAAAAAATCGCGATCCACTCAGCTTAAATCGCTTCCACCAGCTTTATATTGCACTTATATGACAAAAAAGTACACCAATAGCAAGAGGAGATTTCAATTAATGCTTCTGACGTAGTTATAAGATTATTAATTGCGATTATTAATAAACAAAGTGAATTGAAAATAATTTCTCTTGGACGTCAGTTATATGGTGGGTATGGGATATCTGAACAAGATCTTCATTACCGTAAGAAACCGTCTCGTTCATTAATATTTGATATTTTTTGTGAACAAAATACGAATCAGAAACGTTTTTTGTAGATTTAAACGAAATCCGTGTTTCGTTCGTGTGTTAATAAAATAAATGGATTATTCAAAACATTACATGAGCGTTCGATTTTTCTCTTTATATTTAATACGCTCATTTATGTTTTCCCACATTTTTTGGTGAAATTTGTTTATTTTTATTTTATTCATTTATTTAAACTGTATTTTATACAAAAATGTACAAAGGGGGATTTAATGCCTTAAGGCGTTATTTAATTCAATTGTAAACAATTTAATTAGTGAAAAAGAATATTATGATTTTTTACATTATTTTTTTCTAAGTAGAGAGCCACCGAGATTTTTATATCATTAATAAGGAATTGACGATAATAAGTTGTCTAAAGGTCAATTACGAAGAATTCAAAGTTCAAATGAATACGTCAATGATGACGCTATTGTTGTGTTGCTGATTTTTTGTCAATGAAATAATATATTCAAAAACCAAAGGTCTAGCTATGACATCGGGGCGTCAAAGACCTCCGTGAACATGAGTGCTGTAAAGCACCTGAAACGCGGTTAAAATTAAACTCGATAAAATCCGTTAAATTACTATCATTTAATGTGTCGTATTCGTGTAAATATAGGAAATCATTAAATGTCGTATTCGCGTAAATATAGGAAATCATTAAATGTCGTATTCGTTTAAATATAGGAAATCATTAAATGAATTAGTCTAAAATAATACGGGATAACTTTTTCCGATTTTGTAAGTGATGTAATGGTAGGTAGAGATAACAAATAAAATCACACATGAAAATTTTGTAAATATATTTTGAGATTTTTCAAGTAAGAATAAAACGCATGATGGTGGCTCCGTTTTATTTTCATTTGTAAACTATAGTTGCACGTTTAATTAAAATCAATTATAATGACAACAATACCATTTGATGTGAAGAATAAATAACGTAAACAGGCGCCCCGGAATTCGGTAGTAAATAGTAACAGGCCATACGGGCAGCTTACACCGCGCCATATCCGGCGTCAGGTCGCGCCACATGTGCCTTCCGATACCGACTGCTGCGAGTTTGGAATGAATGGTAAAATCGCATATATTATCACGTGGATGCGTGATCACATAACCGTGTAAACAGGAAGCCACGATCACCCGCGTAAACAACGGTGGGTCATTGACCATTATGATTTTCTTTTACTAAAATTATTTCATTAGTCCAGGGGAGAAAAACATCTAGCCGAGTCACGGCCACCAATGACGTGAGTCAGAGTAAATAGAGAAGTGAAATGAACTTGAAAGGCAACATCAAACGAACATCGGAAATTCAGACATTCTTCATGTGTTGGGGTTTTAATTTACTGCTAGCTTTAAAAGTGAATTTTAGACGTCATTTATTTGCACATTATTATTTTATTTATTGCCATTTATGTAATTATATATTTCTTTTTTAAACTCGTTGCACTAGTATAATTTAAAAGGATTAGTAGTACGTTTCCATATTTTTAAAATTTCTTTTAATTAACTTTTTTGATATTTATTATGTTTCCATTTTCTGTTCTTTTTTCTACATTTATCTAGGTTATGCACAAAAATATTTAGTTGCTATGATACGTAAAACTTTTTCACTTTCTTTCATGACACTTAATATTTTTTATTTTGCTAGTTAAGAATAAGCTAAGATTTGAAGTCTAGCATTTTTCGATCCTGTATTTATTAAATTTAAGTATATTAGCTTTATTTTTTTTAATATGTATATCCGTTTAGATGTCAATAGTTGTAGCAAAATTATGGAACCTGAAGTACACATCCAATATATTTTATTATGAATTTTATAAAGAAAAATATAGTTTAATATTTATTACTAAAGAGTATGAACCAGATTGTTAAAAGTTAAGAACTTTCTTGACAAAAACGTAAGAAAACGAGCATCTTATTGTTTTTTAACTATAGTAAATTGATCTAATCTCAATGAAATGAAACGGAGAAATACGTGTATGTATATACATATTATATTGGTTTTGAATTTTTATTTTGAATTTTCAGGAGAAAGCTATTAACATTTAAGGCAACAGCTTCATAAATACGGACTCACTAAGTTTTTAATTAACCCCCAACTTCCCTACCTGTTTTAAAAGCATCGCCATATGTCATTAAAGTTAATTCGTTAATGATCGGCATCAATTTATGAGAATAGAATGCTGATGCTGTAACTATTATGTGCTTTCCTTTTCTCCTAGTTATAGAATTTCTAAGAAGTTTTGGCAAATTCATTCAAATCACTACCTTCTCTTGAATATTTCTCTATTCCTCGTAGTAAACTTAAGTTTCATAAACATGAGAAATACCTGTAAATGCGAAGCTATAAAGTTCCTGTAAAGCTCGTTAAAATCCATATATTCATTATAAGAACGCTTATTAATAGGTGGCCAACTTTATGAGCTTTTTATAAACATAATTTTTTCACTTATAATTAAAGAGCTATTTTTTTATTTTGACATGGTCTTCATTAAGGCAACGAAAATAACTTAATGATCACTTATAGTTTCGAAGCTTAAAGCGGGATTTGTTAAGAAATCCGGACATAGGTGACGATTCAGACTTTTTAGGAAACTTTCATGACTAATCAAATAAATTTTCGACCTTTTATTCATTTTTTACACAAATCGAATGTGGTTAATCAAAATTATTTTATTAAAACTGAAACAGTTCAGAAGAAGCAAGACAAGTTTTTCAGCGGGAATGAATAGGTACATGGATTATCTTATATTATATCTTGATTAAAACAAGAGAGTTAAGGATGAAGATATGTTTTTTAATATTAAAATATGATATACCACTTTACTTCTGCTCTCTCAACAATTTTAAAAATATAACAAGAAATAACATCCATTGAAACAATTCATAGCGTTTTATTTTAATGATTACCTACCTTATTTTCGAAAATATTACGTGAAAGTTTGCACTTTTACATTTCGAGCTTAAATGTTATTATGGTGAGAGCTTTAAGTTTTGAAAAATTACTTTTGACCAAGTACTTACTGGCGGCAAAAATTCAAAAAAATGCGATTGTATATTACATTAAGAAACAAATTTATATAAAAATATTTATTTCAGAAAAAGATTGTATTTTTGCCACCCCTCTTGAAAGAGATTTTATGTTAAATTTACTAACGTAAGTTACTTACCCTAAGTTTAGGAACCATGGCAGCTGAGAATGTAATGGCGGCAAATATAATTAGAAGCTGTCCTTTCATCCTTAATTTTTAATTCGGCTATGATGGGGGTATCGAGATAAGTCTTCAGTTACAAAAAAATATATAGCGCGCGCTCTCACTTTGACGTCGTTGACGGAGCGAAATTGAGTGACACCGGCGGCTTGACGCGCAGTTATAAGTAGCACTGACTCGCACTAAAGCTGCCCCACCGCCGCACCTCACTCCATAAATCAGAATCCCCAAACTACGATGTACGGGACGGGACAACTAATCGTTTATTGTTGTAACGATTTAAATGACAAGAGTATGAATGGACGCGACGAAGCCGACAACCTATGATCCGCACGCGTCCGATTAATAAACAAGAATGTTGTTTGTTATTGTACTGCTTGTGATTACTACGCGCACTCCCATCTTTTGTAACTGAAGATGCTTTGATAGGACAACAATGTTTAATGCTATTTTAGTTCACATGCAAAAATATGCGACATTCGAAACTTTAACTGTAGTTATTTATTCTGTGGCTGTAGATCAATTATTACGTGGCAGAGTTACGCTGCAGCGAATGGTATGGCTCGACCGGGGAGGACCACGCTTTTATAGCATACCAGCGAAAAATAACAACGTAATCCTGCCGTGCTTCGTAAGGATTTCAATTCCATCTTAGTCCTCAAGGGTGACAACACAGCTACATTTTGATTCTTAATCTACGGGCCACAGCATCCAGTTACCACCAGAACATCAGATGGACTGTAAACTTATTTCTCACCTTTATTCTATATAAAATCTTTTTTTTTTTTTTACTTTTAATAGAGCTAAATTTTTCTGAACGGGTTAGCTGTACCCGCCCAATATGAAAATAAATTAAATTCAAATATGTCAAAAACGAATAGGTAATACGAATCGAAATATTATAGAATTATGCGTTTATCGTTACAGTTACAGTAACGTAATCCCGTAAAAGTAGAAGAACCATTACTACGTAGTACTATTATTTATTCTGTGCCATTACTTAAATTTTTTCGATATTTGTATTATAATACAAAAGTGGTATAAGTGATAATAATAAATTACGTCTTTGTATTAAATCATTTAGTTAATATGTAATAAGACACATTACAAGAAAGTATCATGGAAATTCAAATTAGAGTAATGCCCGATACATGACGCCGTGCACACTGCAGTTGCGTCATCCTAGGTACTTCATCTACAGAGCCGGGGGAGTAATAAACTGTCAGTCTTTATATTTACCATCCCCGTTACATTTTCATTTTATTCTGCTTCAGCCATAGAAGTGTACATATTACTTCAATAGCTTCAGCTCACTTTTAAATTAAAACTCTGTCTGGTAATATTACAATGTTTCGCATTTACTTAATTTCTTATTTGTTACTTAAATTTTATATAAAATTTAAATGTGGCATATAAGGTGTAGCAGAATTAAAATGAGAAGTTGTTATTTGAATTATGGTTTATAATATCGCACCTTATATGGGTATTTGTTATTTATTTAGTTATAGGTTCCATATACTTGTTACATTTGCCCTAAAAATAAATAAAGGTTTTGTTAATAACTATTAGAAAACTGAATTGTTTAAAAATTGTATTTGTCAATTCAACACAATCACGGATTAATACTATTTCAACTATTACGTCTTAATTAATGGGTCTATGATCTATGTATTTGATAGGAAAATTTTTAGTTATACACATTACGCATATGCTATTGTTATCGGACGATGAATCACAAGGTTTCGACACCATTTCTGTGAACTTTGCGATAAGCATTCGGTTGCGTCCCTTTTAAAATCTTAGTTAATTTTAAAAATTTAAAATTAGCTGCTGCGACATTTGTAACGGGTATTCTGTTTTTGTTTATTCATAACAGCGGGAAAGGTTTTCCTCGTTGTTTGAACATATTTCATGTAGGAATTCTATTTTAGCTTTCTATTACATATATTTTTGTTAAGTTCGTAAAGAATGTAATATTTTAAATTGTTATTGCTATCACATTCTGTTCATTTTAAGAAGGTTGCACAAATATCTCAAACCAGTAAGTACCTAGTACTTTCTCAATTCAATTTTGTAATGAAGAAATTCGATAATGAAGGAATTTCGACATAACTACACACTACACTAACTACACTATAATACATAAGAAATGTGTTTATTAGGTATATCATTACAATCATACTATGTTCGCAATCGTTATTAATACGATTACATCCCAAATATCTTCTCTCTACCACTTGTATGCAGAAGACCTTCAAATATATTTACAAACAACCATCGAAGATCTTCCCAAAGCTGTTGAATGTATCAACAAGGATTTGGCTTTTATTCTCGACTGGACACGATCTTATGGGTTGACGGTTAACCCTTCAAAATCGCAAGCTATAATTATTGGGAGTTCAAGAACTATTTCCAAAATAAAAAAATGTCAACTTCAACCCGTTGTATTTAATGGTATCCTTATTCCATATAATTAAGTAGTTAAAAATTTAGGTATCCTTTTGGATTCCAGTCTTTCTTGGACACCCCAAATTAATGCAGTGAGCCGAAAAATGTTTGCGGCTTATGCTTCACTTCGGAGGCTTTTCGGAGCAATAACTAGGTACTTTTTACCCATTTCCACCAAAATTACGCTTGCACAATCTTTGCTACTCCCTATCCTCGACTATACTGACATTAATTTGTTACCTTGATATCACCGAGGAGCAACTTAATAAACTTGAGCGACTCCAAAATCTCTGTATACGGTTCATATTTGGGCTTCGTAAATATGACCATGTCTCGGAATACCGCACTAAACTGAAGTGGCTCCCAATCCGTCTTCGTCGGAATACTCATATACTTTCTGCGCTCTACTGCGTCTTATTTAATTTATCAAGTCCTCCCTATCTAAAAGAACGTTTTAAATTTCTTAGCTCTTGTCACTATTTTTCCTTACGGTCCAAAGAAAGCCTTTCGCTCCAATTCCCTGTACACTCCTCGACATTTTATGATAAATCTTTTGCTGTTCTTGGAGTAAGACTCTGGAACTCCTTACTCCAGTCCATTAAAAGAGCTCACTCTTTAAATGTGTTCAAGAAACAAATTAAGGAACACTATTTGTCTCTTTAACTCCTCTCTCTTCCTCCTCTTAGTTATGGTCACTAATATACCTTATGTATGTTGTCATTTTACAGTATATAAGTTGTATTTTTTTTAGTGCACCCTACCCGTTAATCTTATTTTTATTTTTATTAATTTCCTCTTCTGGGTTGTCTCGAAGAGATTGCTATGTAACAATAAAACCGCCTTTTGTTTTTGACTCATTGTTTGTTCAATATTTGTTATATTTATGTTTTGTTGGTGTACAATAAAGAGTATTGTATTGTATTGTATTGTTTTAGTTTTAGATGGCAAAGCTGATATTGTTGCAGCCTACAGTGTGTGATTGAATGTAAACGATTATCATCTTCTTTCTTTAATCCGTCGCAACTAAGGGAAAGTAAAAGTAAATAATATTAGTACGAGGTATACACACATTAAATTAATGTTCGACAGTGTGACACTTGTTCTATAGTGCCAAAGGATCACGATCATCATCACCATCATTATCATCATCAAAGCTTCTTACCAGCCCACAGCTGAAAATAAGTCTCCCCCAAGGATCGGCATCCACATCCATCGATTTTCTGTATGTCTCGTTACTCCATGTAGAGGGAGCCACCCTAACCTTCCAAAGGATTAAAATAGTAGAAGTAAGAGGCAAAATGACGTGTTATCGTTAGTATGAAATATCTCTTGAAATTTTAAAGTGGGCGGTCTATCTGTCATTCATATGTTACGAAGGCTGAATTGGTACTCGGCATCACGTAATACTCTCAATTATACAGATTTTTTGCCTGATTTAAAATAAGTTAGTTTTCGTCACTACAATCCATTCTTATTTTGCGGAAAGCTCTTCAGATGTTATAGCTTCATTCTGGACCCCTTCACGTGTCTAATCTACACACGAGTAACTAATCTAACGAACAAGAAGAAATCGGGATTTGGCATTTTATTCTTCTTCTTCTCAAAGCGCCATCTTCTTTCGAAGGTCAGCGATCATTAAGGCAACTTGAATCTTTGATGCCGCGGCTCTGAATAAGGAACGGGTGCTCTTTCCAAACCATTGGCGTAGGTTTTTCAGCTAAGATGTTCTTCTTCGACCCATACTTCGTTTTCCTTGGATCTTGCCCTGTATGATAAGTTGCAGTACATCGTATTTTCGGTTTCTCATTATGTGGCCGAGATATTCAAGCTTTCTTTTCGTTACAAAATATACAACTTCTGGTTTTTTCTTTATGCGACTTAGCACGGTTACGTTATTTAAAGGCAACTGAATCTTTAAATGATTTCCAAACATATATACGTCGAAATTACCAAAACTCAATATAGCTCGTACTGAGGAAGCTTTTTAACAGTACGCTACCAAGGCAAAGAGACAACTATCTAACTGAAGACAGACTGTGGCAGCAAAATTTCCGGACGACCTGAGATTTTGAATGAGAATAAAAAAATAAAAATGCAAGACCCAAAAACCAGTCTCATACGATACTGTTCCGGTGATGAACTGGACCTCAGTCTTAGCGAGATTAAATTGGGTCACCGTAAAAATAACAAGGCATTGCCTGAGTGGAAAACCGTTTCTTAAAGATCTTTATGGTTTTATTTATAAACCAAATGCCTAACCTTTGACACATTATTTATAACACCGAAGGGTACAATCTGCTACTTTGTCGTACGTATAATACGGGTTAGATCATTTGAATGTGCCGAAATTAACACAGTGCTACAGTCGCTGCCGATGCCACATGAAGTGTCATTATAGCGAAGTGTTAAAGTGTTAGGTAAGTTAAGTTGGAGAGGTCACATCTATTGGAGTCATCGCTCCGTCCCCTTCGTGCTCTAATTCAAAGCCCCGATAACTTTCAGCTTGAGTTAAAAATCTTTTCCAGTGCGAGAAGACTGCAATACAGTTGATATGAATTAAAAGCTCTTGGAAATTGTCC